CTTAGAGTAAGCTTGTCTTTTATTCATTTTGCATCATTATGTTTAGCCCTAAACTTAGAATCTATAATGCACAATAAATGTCCGGTGAATGGATCTGCTTTAATTTCCTCAAAAATAGTATAGTAGAATCAGATAAAATAAAATCGAGAGCTTCTAACTCTCCTGTCTTTTATAAATTAATCTAGCATTACATATGTTCTATTTACAAATGCCAAGAATAAATTTGACTTTTAACTGTTATGCCGTTATGGCTTCACTTTAAATTTCCTCAACAGAACTATCTTTCCTTTATTCGTAAGATAGGAATTTCCATAATTCATCAAAAACTAATGTATGTAGTATGTGTATAAAACTTTCCTTTTAATGATGGCTCTTGCAAATTATCAAAATAAAAATACATTTGAAATATAATAAGAAAAATAACCTGTAATCTCTTTGCTCAACTACAGAAAACCTAGACAGTATCATAAACAAGCTGCTTCAGTGACATTTGAAATGAAGCCCTTATGAGCCATGAGAGAGAAAATTCTTATTTCTAAAAACTAAAAACTAAGTTTTGTTCATTATATATATTCACTGTAGAAAATATGAAAGAGAAGTAGAAAGAAGTAAGCCACTGGTGATTCTTCCTGTCTGCTTTTTATTAACATTTTCCTATATTGTCAATTACTCATATTAAATTTAATGTTTTCACAATATTCCACCTGACAACACTGTAATTTAAGCAATCATTTTCCCACCGAACACTTAAGCCAATTCCACAATTTCACAATTACATGTCCTCACATATTTCCTTATAAAGTGTAGTATCTTTCATCAAATTAGAAAGGTCAAATAATTTTATGTTCCACCAGTGTTCTGCAATATCTGCAAACGAGTCTTCCTATAAATATAAAATAATGAGTTCTACCACCAAAAAAGAAACTAGGAAAATAATGCTATTCACACTAACAGTCAAGAAAAATTAAATACTTAGGATTTAACCTAACCAAGAAAGAGAAAGACCTATACAACAAAACTACAGTACCATACTCCGAAAAAGGGAGATCAAAGAGGACATGAGGAAATGGAAAGAGGACTCCTCTCCCCCTGCGCCCAGTTCCAGTATAGGCAAAACCAACTTTGTCAAAATGGCCATATTCCCAAAATTAATCGATTTAATGTAGTCCCAATCAAAACACCAACACTGCTCACAGAAGTAGAAAAAATAATCTTAAAATTTATATGGAACCAGAAGAGACCCAGAATATCAAAAGCAATCCTGGGTAACAAGAGCAAAGGAGGAGATATGACAATCCCAGATTTACAGTTGTATTACAAAGCTATCAAGATAAAACAGAACAGTACAAGCACAAAAATAGACATGTGAATCAATTAATTAGAGTAAAGGATGCAGAAACATCCCCAGTCACATTCAGCCACCTGATCTTTGACAAAGATAGCCTCTTTAACAAATGGTACTGGGAAAACTGGCTATCCACATGCAGAAGAGTGAAGCTACATCTTGGACAGAGAATTAATGTTCAAAGTGTAGCTTCCTCCAAAAACTGTAACTGGAAATTCCATTTGACCTAGCTATTCCCCTTCTAGGTATCTTCTGAAAGAGTTAAAGACATCATATTACAGTGATATATACATACCTATATTTATAGCAGTATAATTCATAATAGCTAAATCTTGGAAACTGCCCATATGTCCATCAACAGATGAATGAAGAAAACATGGTATTTATACATAAAAAGGATAAATTTGAGTCATTTGTAGAAAAATGGATGCACCTTGAGTATACAATGTTAAGCCAAATAGACTCACATACTTAAACATCATATGGTTTCTTTTATATGCGAAAAGCAAAGTATAAATAAAAAGCAAACATCAACGACAGACAACAGGAGGAAATAAGAGTATACTGTGGGCAAATGAGAAGGGGACTAAGAGATGTTGGAGTGAGAGGGGAAAGGGATATAAAAAGAATTAAGATATGTACATGTTCCAACTACCCACAAGGAATGTATTCACCATGTACCATAAACATGTACTAAAAAAAGAATTGGAAGTTCTTGTTAAAAACATTAGACTCCTCTTTATGCCATAATTTTGTGAAATTCATTTCCCAATACAAAGAAATTAAACAATTCCAAAATATATCTTCACAAAAGTCTAATTTTTCTTCTCACATTTAAAAAACCTCCCCCATCTCAGCTTTTTACATCTCTTCCCCAACTCCTGCTGCTTTCTCCTCTCATACCAACATAATCCACATTATTTTCCATGGACCTTTTTTTTTCACATGTGCACATAAAGTTTTCTCTAGCTGTGATTCTAAGGAACATGCAAACAAACAAAACCTTCCTGAAAGGGGAAACAATTTTTTCATAATTATTTCACATAATTCATTCAAAATAATTTTATTTTAGGATTTAGAACACAACTAGACCAAGTTTTCCATTTACCAATCCTTACCTATCTAGATATTTTTGTGTAGAGATGGGAATAGTAGATATAGGACGTTTATGCAATGATGGGGACATCAAAGGACAAAGTGTTTCCATACTTTTCTAGGACCATTACAAGATAGGAGGAATCAAACTTAAAATCCTGATAAAGTTTGGATGAAGGAAGAGAAATACTTGCTCTACATCACCATTTTCATCCAATGTTTCCTCTAAAAATATTCTCAGGAGCCAACCAAAGTAGTATTAATTGCATGTGTTTCTACAGTGACTACAGAAATCCTTCTCACCAAATACAGTCTTTTTTCTCAATTTTCATCCTTTCACTGAGTTCACCTTGGCATTAATGTTCAGGGGGAACTATACACTGCTGGTGTTTTAAAATATTCCCATTTAACCTCTTTAACAATGTGTTTATCTGACCAACCTGACATCTACTTTGGCTCCTCTTCTTGATTCATGGCCATTTCACAACAGTATCTTTTCCCTATTCTATTCCCCTATTAAATTTAGTATGATCTCAAGATTTTTAATTAGACAACCAAAAAACCTCTTAGTTCTTCCCCCATAACCATTTAAATAATTTTTCTTATATTTTTCCAAAACAAAAATCTAAGGATTACAATTTTATCTATCATTCTTCTTCCTGGACCCGAATGACTAGGTAGTTTCTTCAGAATAGAGAAGTATCATAAGTTGATATATTTCAACAGTGAAGTTAATTATTTACATAAAAAAGCTCACAGTTATAGTGGTTTTTAGCATCATGGGCTTTGAAGCCAAAATATGTTAAGTTCAGTTCTCAGCTCCATGATCTTCAGCAAATTAGTAAGTCTCTTCTTGTACCCTACCTGTAAAATGCATATAGTAATAGTACATATCCCCAGAGACATTATAAAGAGTATATATACACTTAAGAATTTTTGGCTTTGTTTGTACCTTTTTTTGGTACCGGGGATCGAACTCAGTAACCTTGAGCTTGCAAGGCAGGCAGCGGAACCACTGAGCTAAATCCCCGGCCCTGTTTGTACTTACTTTTGAGATATGATTTATATATTATAAAATACAATTTCTAAAAATCTACCATTTAGTGGCTTCTAGTATGTTCACAAGGTTGTACGGCCATCACTACTAATTCCATAATATACTCCCCTCCAAGAAACCCTATTATTCATTAGCAAACACTTCTCTACCCTCCTCTACCATTCTCTTCTTCCTCAAGTGCCTGACAACCAGTAATTTACTTTCTGTCTCTATAGATTTACCTATTAGGGACATTCATACCAACAAAATTCTCTATGTAGCCTTTTGTGTCTGGCTTTCTAACTCAGCATAATGCTTAGAAGGTTCACATTGTCGCAAGTATCAGTATTTCATTCCTTATGGCAGAATAGTATTCCAATGTATGGATATACTTACATTTTATTTACCCTTTATCAGATAATAGATTGGGTTTTTTTCACTTTTTGACTGTTATGAATAATAAATGCATTCATGTAGAAGTTTCGTGTGATGTATTTTTTGGGGTTTTTTTTTTTTGTACCAGGGATTGAACTTGGGTCCTTGCGCTTGCATAGCAGGCAGTGAAACCACTGAGCTAAATCCCTGGCCCTGTTTTGTTTTTTTCTTTTGTTTTTCTTAAAAAATATGGAACGCTTCACGAATTTGCGTGTCATCCTTGTGCAGGGGCCATGCTAATCTTCTCTGTATCGTTCCAATTTTAGTGTATGTGCTGCCGAAGCGAGCACCCTGTTTTTTTTTTTTGAGACAGAGTTTCACTAGGTAGTGCGAGCGGGCCTCAAACTTGTGATCCTCTTGCCTCCGCCTTCCATGTACTGGGACTACAGGTGTATACCACCATGCCTGTCTATTTTCTGTATTCTTAAGTAAATACCTAAAAGTGCAACTGCTGGGCCATATGCTTGCACTATGGTTCATTTTCTGAAGAACTTCCAAGGTGCTGTGTCTAAAAAGTGAACCTATTTAAACATACAAGTTTTATCTTTGTTACTATTTTACAACATTATTTTATTAAGACAATGGTTTCAGATCTAAATCACTATGATTCATTCAACCCATAAATGTTCTATCATGGAAAATAAGCTCTAAGGTTAGATAGACTTCATCTGTCACTAAGCATCTTAGTCAGAAGACTTAAAGCCTATAGTAAAAATAAAAAAATTTCTAGAAACAACAGAGATTCCGTTTATTTATATATCATACAGGAAGAGCTTTCAAGTGTTTATTAAACAGTAGATTTTGATGATATCAATCTCTGTGATAAAACAATTTCAGTGTGATATGAAAAATATAAAGAATAGGCTAAATATTAAACCCAGATTAATTCTACCAAAAGGAAAAAAAACTCAAGTTAGTTGATTACAAAGCACTTATATAAAAATGCTCTACCAGAATAAATATAAAAAGCAAAACAAACATACAATTATTTTTACCTTTTATGGGTAATAATGACCAAAACCAGAAATGATTGTTGAATGAAAAAAATGTGAGTCTTAGTTGTAAGATTTCAGAAACCAAATGACTTACCTATGTATACTCTCTTGCTGTATCTCTGCATCAGTAACAGCACAAATACATGCAATGGAATAAGGTTGATGATAAACACATACCCACCCCAAGCAGAGACCTATGAGAAAAGAAATACCAAGGTAAATAATTTTTAACTTTTTAACATTTTGTACTTTTCAAAATAGGTATTTGCATTTGTCATGACAACTTACATATATAATGAATCAATACAAAACACTAGGATTTTTAGCAATTGAGATATATTTGAAATGTTTATATAACATATATATCCCATTTCTCCTTATTTTTTCTTGATACTTAAAAATAACATCCCATAAACCCATATGCTTTTCTAAATTCAATGTGAAAATACTTGAATTAAATTAGACTTAATAGGAAAGCCGAGAACACTATAATTTGTGAACTGGCAGTAAACAGTAAACAGACAGTCATGGAGACAAAATTCCACAGACCATAAAACTTTAAATTTATTTTTTTTAAAAAAAACAGCTTTTACTCTACCTATTTTTGAGAAATTTATTGTAAGAAAGTTCACTGAGAGTAAGAACAATGCATGTTAGCACTCATCAACAATTCAACTAAAAAGAATATTTGGATAGTGGAATATGCTTTGAGATCCTTAAAATTAAAAGTGCTTGTTGGGCACGGATGTTTTTTCTACAAATGAATTATAAAGGAAGATCACTATAATGTCTGGTCTACCAATATATACTATTTAATCAGAATACTGAAGATGTTCTGGTCTAAATTACTAAATATTCTTAAAGAACGTTCACTCTCAAGTAATCGAAAAGTATTAATATTTCAGTACATTCAATATGCAATAAGCTCTTATCAAGATGAAAATTTTTAGATGTAGTCTAATGATTAAGAGAAAGACTCATTGGAAGACTCATTGATACCAATACCTCAGGAGGATTATATGTATAATCTAATGATGCTGCCACTATCTAAAATATTTCAGAATCCCTTATAAGGAACTGCCATCAGTTTATAATGCACATCTGCTTACTACTTAAGTACATGGTTTTTTTCCACCAAAACACAATGTTGCCTTGATTAAACACCAGTCCCTGGTTATTTCCAAATTTTAAATTTAAACTCTAAAGAGAACGAGTTTGCTATTACTGAGTACAATTGCACGGGATGTACCCCAGACTTTAACCACTTTAATAGGGCCATTGATCACTTACATGAACATAGTTCCTCTACTATTTATTTAAAATATCAGCAAAATTATTAATTTTTAGCACAAGACTACTATATAGGCCATGGGGTGAAAAGAGGTAGAAAAATGAAAAAATATTGAACCTTAAATGTAAGAAATCTGTTTTTAAAAATTGTATAGGGTAGTTTGAAGATACACATTATGTGGCCATTAGATAATGACTCTCCAGAATCATTAGAATTTTGAAAATTGAACATAGTATCACTATATTGCCTTATCTACCCTGTCTACTTACCAACAAAGAAAAGCTAAAAGCAATCTGAAACAGAATCTGATGTTTTGAAAAGTACTTATTAATCTTCCGTATGATCTTTCAATACAGGGCTTTATTTACTCTCTGTCCCATACAGATTTATCCAAAGAGGTTTTTTTTTTCTTCCATGTACTTTAAAGAATGAAAACAAGATGGGTCTTAAAGAACATTCTTCCTACAATCCAGTCTTCACTTAGGATATCTTTTTCACCAAGATTTCTAAGTTTTCTTATTTCTCTGCTATAGGCCAACTTACCAAACCAAGTATAAGATGACTGTTAAAAACTCAGATTACTTCACCATTAAGCAGTTATTTAGTGACTAATATGACAACACAAATTTTTTGTACAATATTCATAATTATCCAACTGTTAAATAAGTTTATCTAAACATGGTTCCAGTGATTCAATATTTAGCAGAAAAAAGTTCATGTTCCATTTTATTTTGTAATATTATTTGGAAAACATTTTTCTTATCAGTGCAGTTGAAAACATAAAGCTAGGAACAATTAAAAAACAAGTCTAAATGTCAATAAAAAGCTAAAATATTTAAAAATTAACATACGGAAAAATGTGTTTTGTTCAACTTATACAAAATGGTGTTTTCAATGAGGATTATTCAATAAGTATTCAGTAAGTAAGTACCCCCTCAAACTTAAGTCCATATATATATATATACATACACACACACATATATGCGCATAGGAATAAAGGAAGAGGATGGCAGTAATTTAAAGAACACACCAGATAAAAATCAATATCCTAAGGAATTTAGGGGAAAGAAAGTAGAAAACTAGTCCTTGTTGATGAGAATGTGAAAGGGAATTGTTCTAAAATTAGAACCCATAGTTTCAAATATGAAATCTTACCATATAGAAATATGATAAACAGCAGCACACTGTCCAAAAAACAGATCCCGTTTTTACAGATTTAACCTAAAAGATATAAGCAAATTTTATAAAAAGGTTTACAAAGCTCCTGCTGATTTTAAAAATAAATTAAATGTTTAGTAAATTTTTGCTATAAAAAGACAAGGTTATTTTTAAAAAAGCATTGAAGTCAACTCAGATATCCACATCTAACTACGATAACATATGCAGCATCTATAAACTCACAAGCAGCTGACATTTTAAGAATAAGACTTTTTTTTCGTTATGTAGTTTTCAGTAAAAAGAATCACTGTAAAAAAATCCAAATTGCATTTTACATTTTCTACCTTAAAATGATTAAAGAAAAATTTATCAGTAAATCTACATTTTTGTGTTGTTGTTTGCTTAGACTGAATGCCTTAATCTGTTTCATTTGAATATGTGATCATATATATCTTACATAATTTTGAGAATCTTTTTAAAAACTTCATTATACTTAGAAAATTTCAAATACCATAATGAATATCCAAAAAATTTATATTTCTAAAATATTTTCCAGAATGCCTCATATGTAAGTAAAATTCTCAATTACTCTGAACTAGAAAGAGAATATGCAATAAATGAAAAATTTTAAAGTTGAAAAATCTCTACTCTTTTTAAGAGTCTGTCTTTTATTTCTGTGTCCTGATACATACAAGTTCAAATTTAAGTCCTCTATACAGTTAATTTCCAGGGGTTCTTTATTTTAAAATGAGTCTCCTACTAATATATTTACAAGAAACTATGGGTGACATCCAAAACTGTGGGGAAATAAGTGTGAAAAAGGATGGAAAGAATGGAGAGAAAAGGAAAAGAAACTTTCCTAGTTTATAGCAATTAATGTTGATAGCGAAGAAAGTATATGAAAATGTGGATGGGGGGGTATTAAGGATTGAACCCAAAGTCTTTGCACTGAGCTTTATCACCAGGCTTTTCTCTTTTTCTTTCTTTCCTTTCCTTCCCTCCCCCATCCATCTGTCTGTCCTTCCATCTATCTATCTATAGGCAGGATCACCTTAAGAAGAAAATTTTCCAGCGCAGATGAGATTATTCCTTTGATATGTGATCACCAAAAAGTTTGGAGAAAAGAGTTGGCATCAAGAGGTATTCCCAAAATCATATAGATAGAAACCAAAGAAACAAATAGACCAAAACACAATTTTTAGAAAAGGTAGGTAGTGTTAGGGAAAAGGAAGGAAAAAAACAAAGGTTCAGAGAGGCCTACTCCTAAGTGGAAAAACTAAAATGTGTACTTAGAGGGTGAGATGAGTAAGAAAGCACAAAAGAAGCTGAAGGACAAGGGCACAAAAGGCTAAAGTAGAGATAGAATCAACATCAATAGAGTGAATGAGAAAAAAAAGCTCAACCTAAAACTTGAGAGTAGAGAGGATAGGCTATCCAAGCAGACTGCAGTAGGAAAAGAAAAATACTGTCAGGGAAACCTCGCAAATAATTATTTTATCCTTTATATTTATATTTGTCTATCAGTTGTTTTACTGCCTCTCAGCTCTGAAAAGCACAATTCAAGATTTGTGATAAACAACAGGACTTCTTTAAGTATTTCTCCTTTTAAGTTGGGTATGCTGTTAAGCTTTCTTGGTAGAGGGTACTAGAGGAAAACTGCAGAAGGGGATCTCCTCTCGCTTCAGGCGTAGGTTGGGAGTTTGCCATAGTAAATGTGAGAGCATTTGGTGAAGCAGACACCAGTTATGGACCTAGAACATAGTCCTTCTGTGACTGCGCTGGTGTGATGTGGTGATGGCCTTTCTGTAGTCTTGACTTGGTAACCAGAGTTCCCATGCATACTCTGAAAGCCTTCTGCTGCCACAGACCCATATATTCCCACTGCATGCAACAGGCCTCCAGTTCCCTCTCCCTCACCTGCCTAGACTCCAGAGTGTGGTCTGTATCTTGTGTGGAGCACCTCCAAAGCATTTCCACACTGGCCAAACCCCTGAACAACTCTGCTGTCAATGGGCTGAGCTCCATCCCATCCTGAGTTCTCAACACCTTCCAAGTTTGTCCTTCCTTGGGTATTCTCCCTTAGCCATAGGAAACCAGTATCAAGTGTCCTTCTGTGTTACTCTTTTTTTCCATAGTTGACATTTCTTTTATAAAACTTCCCTTATTTAACCTGCCTTAACTGTTTCTTGCTCTTGACTGGATCCACACATATTACAAAGCTGCTCGTTTTATGGCAGCCAGAAAGCAAGAGCATAGATAGTTCAAGAGCACCCTGGAAAGATGCACTGTCTAATAGCACACCTCCAGTGACCCACCTTTTCCAACTTGGCCTACCTCCTAACAGCACATTCAGCTATGACCATCAGTGGATAATTCACTGATGAGTATAGCAACTCCCATGATCCAGCTACCTCTCTTAATCCATCCAGATTGGCAATTAATATTAACTGGCACACCTGCATTCAAAAAACCCATCTCTCAGTGATTAGGAGTCTAATAATCTTTCTGAATCTTCACATCTTAACCACTTAATGTATTTCTTACTTTATATAATTGAGGATTAAATTATAAACAGAAAACATAAAAAACATCTTGCCTTATGCATAGTACCCAGAAGACATTCATTAGATCCCTTTTATTATCTCCGAGGCATTTTGGAGGAACTACTGAACTAAAACATGAGAAATTAGATTTATGTAAGACTTAAGACTGAAGGCAAAGAAAAATGGAGGGGCAAGTTTTGGGATCAACAAGTGGCCACTCCAGTAGAAAAAAATTAAGAGAAGCTGTAATCATTACTGAGAAGTTTTAAAACAAAGATAATTAGTTTCCCCAAATCAAATTCCATTATATTATGAATCTGATCCCCAGCACTGAAAAAAATATATATTATAAATAAGTTTATTTTCTGAATTCTCAGCTATGCCAGTAAGTGCAATTTATTAAATTAATAAAAACAAAACATTTTTCCCTCCAAAGCTAGTTGATATGAAATGTTTTATCAAAGAAAAATTTAAAAGAAGACTAACACAAGAGACATGTCTGGCTACAGGGGTAGGAAGTTCAGAGATTCCTCACTGAGGTAGGAAGTAAAAGAGGAAACAGATAAAACTGACAACCAATTCAGAATGCTTGCAATCAAACAACTGCAGACAAATAAGTTGAGAACTGTGGTCTTCTCGCTTGGGACTGCTCCCAAAGCATAACTTCACTACTTAACTTGGTCGACAAAAATGGTAGTTTAATCAGTCCAAGACTTGACAAGAAAATCCACTGCTTTGTTCCCCAAGGAAGAGGACTTGATGCAAGGTTGGAGTTGGGGACAATGAAAACAACAGCTATGCCAGCTAAAAACAATAAACTCAGGAACAAACAGGAGAACAGCAGACTAGTCAGAAATCAATGTGATAATTCCGGAAATGAGGTGGACATTTGACAAAAGCTTAGATAAGGTCTCTACTCATCTCTGATGACAGAGAAGCTACTATATTCATGCAAAAAGAAGACTAGAGAAAACCAGAGATGAGTAAAAGCAGTTATAATTTTGAATGTATTCATCATCCCACAAACTGATCAATCTACACAGTGTGGAAGCGTTATGGGTCCAAGTGTTTGAACATAAACTCTGCCCAAATCTTTGGCTGACATAAAATCTATACAGACACAGGGGTAATCTTTAGGAATTCAAGTAATAATACAAAAGTAAATAAAAATAACTGAGCAGACACATCAATGGAAACGGACCACTAGGAGTGACAGATTATACAATTTGAGTCCAGGTAAATTACTAAAAGAAACTAACATATCTCAAAAAAATGAAACTGACCCCAGAGTTACTACATTATGTAAAATACCCAGTCTCACCTAAAAATTATAAGACATGCAAAGAAATAGGAAAGCATGATCCACATTTGAAGCGGTGAAAATAGGGATGGGTAAGTAGTCAGCAGGAGCTACCTGTGAATGGACCCAGATGTTAGGCTTACAGGACAAAGACTTCAATCACCTATTATAAACATCTTCAGAGAATTAAAGGATAGCATGTTCAGAAATGTAAAGGAAAATATAAAAGCAAATTTCAATAATTAAATAAGAGTATACGCTTTTATATACAGGTGTGAAATAAGAACCAAACAAATTTTGGAGTTGAAAAATTCACTAACTAGGCAAAAAACAAGTTTGAGATGACAGAAACAGTGAACATGGAACTGGTTAACAGAAATTATCCAATCCAAAGAAGAGATAAAAGTCCAAAATGAGGCACTATAGAGAGAACAAAGAACATTTAAAGAAACAATTACAAATTCCCAAATTCTATAGTAAATATTACTACAGACCCATGAAACCCAACAAACCACCAAGTATAATCAGAGAATGACATCTAGACACACTGAAGCAAAAGTGCTGACAGATCAAGAGAAAATTCTAAAAGGAGAAAGAGAAAATATGCACAAGGAAACAATGTGACTACCAGCTGACTTCTCTTCAGGGAAATAAACAAACTTGACAGAGACAGTGGAATGACATGTTCGAAGTGTAGAAAGAAGAAAAAAAAAATGTATCAACCCTAACCTCATCTCTATGACACACACTATCCTCAACAACGAAGACAGGAAGATTCTGGGAAGATGGTAGAGTAAAAAGCACCAGAAGTCTGCTGTCCCCTAGACAACAACTGCAATGGAAGAAGCTATTTTTAAATTTTGGAGTTTATAAGCTTGTGCCCTACAGGCAGTGGGAAGACTTGGGGCAGTAAATTAAGATTAATTTTGGTCAATTTCAGCTCTTAGCACAGTAGCAGCCTCCCATACTTCACCCTTCATTTAGCTTCTGTGGCAGACAGCTGTTCTTGGAGCAGCCTGAAAACAGCTACAGAAGCTGAAGTGTGCAAAAAGAACCCTGCTTTCCAAATACTGGGAATGATACTGACTACTGCTTCTAATCAAAGAAGTGCAGATAAAGAGGCTAGTGATTACTGTTGTTGCCCCTCTCTTTATGGCTGATGTGACTTCCAGGAGACTAAACTGCTGGCACTTTTCCCTTTCATTTTTCTGTGTTCTCCT